ACTCAGCTAAAGGCATCTGTCAGGAGCAGGTAGTATGGCTCTGGGAACCATATAACTTAATTTAAAAACTTACACAAAGGGTTATAGCAAGTCTCTAAAGAGATAAATTCACAACAAGAAAGATAGAAAGTAACACAGGCCAGCACCTCTGCAGGTGTGAAGAACCATTGCTCCTCAGTATAAGTAGCCAGGGCATGTTTTATAAGAGCCTATTACGTCTGTGTTCCAAAGGCCTTTCAGGCCTTGCCTACACATTAATATTAAAACACATCAAGTATTCTAGTCCATGGGCATGCTTTTAGAGACACGGTTTTAGTAGTATATCTTCTTTTGATATAGAAAAGGAAGTAACTGATCTGAGGAGTCTTTACATGGCTACCCACTTTCCATGGCAAGGGCTACTGGCATCCCAGTATGTATCAGTATATAAGAAAGAATGAAGGAAAGAAAGTTAACTTGAACTGGCAGAGATTCCTCAGTACAAGAGCTATCCTCAGACAGAAAGAAATGCTGAAGAAGAATGATTGCTGGAAACAGCAGAACTGTCACAACAAGTATTTCATGGCTCTCATTTCAACCCCAAACCAGTATTTTCTTATTGTTTTCAGCTACCCCCACTCTGTCATTAGTCATTCTTTGAATGTTAACTCTCACTGTTCCCTTGGTAATTTGGACCAAATAAGGAATGAACAAACCCCGGACAAGGATATCCCCAGCTGAAATCTGCTTACTGAGTACAAAATGCCGAAGGAATATTGAAGATACATAGTTGGCACCAGGTATTTTATTTTTTTTTTTAAAGAGTGGCGAGTCCAAAAGCCTCCTCTCCAGCATCGCAAGAAGAGGAAAGAACCACAGTGAAACAAATAAAACTGCAGCTGCTGACTCCTAAATAATAGTGACTGTTAGTAAGAAGCTCATTGCCTCACTTGAAGGCAGTCTGACAGTGACAGAACAATTAAGAGAGAAAGAAAACATATTGCTGGTCACATTACAGTATGATAAAAACCTGCCATTACCTTCTGTTGTTGATGGACTTTGCATCAGCCCTGAAGTATCCGAGTCATGTGAACATCATGCCCATTTCCTACAACTTACACATATTTTTCAAGATTTAAAGCACCATAGTCTCAAAACCTTAACTCGGTGTGTAATGGTTTTAACATATATTTTACATCTTAATTTGCCATAATAATGTGGCTATAAGCTGCTGTCATTTGCTCCCTTTTTCTGACCTTGGAAATAAAATGTTTAATCTCCATGGGATTTTCCTGGCGAGATATTTTAAATCAGTGCATATGTACATACTTCTCTATGTGTTTTTTCAATTTTCCTAAAATATTCTCATATGTGCAGACATGATGACTAGACATGTTTCAGTGGTGCTTGAAACTTGATACAAGGGGGTAATTTAACCATGTAATTGAACAATATTACAGAAACACACGGAGTTTCCTAGCAACAAAAGGCCTTGGACATCAAGATGGCAGCCAGCAGCTAACACTGCAATTGCCTGACCTGACTTGAAAAGAAATTACACTGAAGAATGTCCTTCCTCTTACAGCAGAGCTGATCTAAGATACATGGCTACACGTCTGACCTCAAAGGGCTTTTCTGACATGCGTATGCCTTACTCATATCCAGGGTCACAAGATGTCATATGAGAAAGGACATTTGGGTTCCTTTTTGAGTATATTTATAGAAGAATAATCTTTGATTTGAAAAATTTAATACTCCTATCCCCTCACGTTTACCCCCATAGAAAATAAAAACCTTCTTAATGCAAAGTAGCTGAGCCAGCACAGCTCAGCTTGTCAATGCAGATTTCCCCCTTGCTAGGGCATTTCTGGAGGACGGGGCGAGGGGCAAGGTGGCACAAGTGAGCCTGAAGACCAGTGCTGCTCTGTGCGTCCCACTCCAGTGCCAGAGACTCCCAGGCCTGAGAAAATAGGACACAGAGGGGCAGAGCAAGATCATCTCCTCCCTTCTTCCCTTTTTCCTCATTTTTATTCATTTCTGGCTGCAGTATTTGGGAGGAAGAAAATCAGAAGATTTTTAGTCCAGGTTCTGTTTTGCTGAAGCAAGTCGGTCAGCTGAGTAGCTATCCCAGAGGACTGAGGATAATTGTCCCCTTTATTAGTGCAGAGGCGAGGTGACATCTGAGATGAAGAGCTTCTGACTAGCCAGTCTCAGACAAAAGCCATCTCTTCCTGAGGGGGAAGAGTAAAGCATGGAAGCAGCTACCAACTCACGAGGCTGCAGTACTCAATGTCATTTCTGATTCAGTTCCTGCCTTTAACAAAGCCTCCTGCCACAATGAAGATCAAAGAACTGAGTCCAGACCCACAGTGCTAAGCAAGATAGGACACAGCTCTGTGTAACCCTTTGAATAACAGCAAAGGGGGCTTGGTGAGTATGCGACATCCTGGAGGCTTGGGCCCTCCTGTTCACATTCCCCACTGAGTCCCACCTTTCACATCTGAGCCAAAGTCCTTTAACCTGTCCTTCAACAAGGGACAACAGCACTTCCCACGAAGAATAAATATATTCAAGCCCGTTAGCTTTCAGACAGTACGATGCCATGGCCTAGAAGGGTACGATCAGGGGAGACCCCTGACCCTGGACAGATGCTGGGAGCTGTTAACTGCCGCGCTGTAGTGGTTTTCACCGGCGACCCCACCAGCACAGGGTGGCTCAAGGCAAAGAAAGCACTGAAAAAATTCCTTACACCCTTGCTTTGCTCAGAGCTTCCTTCAGTTAAACAACATCAGTCCCTATTTCCAGTTACATCATGACTTCATTTTTCCATCTGAAGTAGCTAACTGTTGCTTCAAGAAAAATGTCAAAAATTGCCTGTTTTCTGAATGAAAAGTTTTGGGCAGAGAAACAAAGCCCTTCTAATACAAGGATGATGGTTTACTGGTATTTCACTAAAATAGCAACAGCTATTTGTGTGGTGTGTGTCTATAACAAATATGTTGGTACAAAAACGCTGCCTTGCAAACACCATTCTTTTCAGCATTGCCTTTACAGTTTTGGAGGCGCTGGCTGCTTTCACAGCCAAGTTTGCCACTGCTATGGAAAACAGGCAGCACATGCAAGCCGGCTGAAGTCATACAGACTGAAAAGGGCTAGGGCTGCTGCTGCTACCACTGTTAAAATGTTATTTGGAAACCATCGTCTCAGAGGGCTGTATAAGGAATCAGAAATCCAGGGTAGGGATGCAGGCTTGACGCTTTTCCATTTTTTAGCAATGACTAATACAAAAAAGCTCTTATCTCAAAATAAAACATTCCTGCCCCTTACAAAGGCATATAAGCAGACAGGGCAGAATGGCCTTATATAGCTGGCCTAGTAATGTCCTCTCCACCACTGTATCTGAAGACCTTCTTGTGCTGTACTCCCATAACCTCAACCATTGTAGATGGAGAGCTATGCCAAAGCCTTCCTCTTACTCGGCTGGAAGGCAGGGGGATGTCCCTCTTGATTTCATCAGAAGAGTTGTGCGAGAATAGCGCAGAGACAAGGCCAAATCAAAAAAGAAAACAAGTAGTAAATCACTTTAACACTCAATAAGCCAAGCCAGAAATCCAGAAATAATTCTCTAATTAATTTAACAGAGGTAAGTGACATGCAAGAAATACAAACTTCTCAGTGTCTAAGGGAACATAGGAGCATGTTTCAGAAGCAATTTCTTCTGCAGATTTGTCCCTTATGCACAGCTCTTTGCTCTCTAACAAGGGCTGCATCTGTAACCGCAGTTTTCTTCTAGGGAAGACATTGGGTCTCCCTACGACATCCAGCTGTCTATTTGCATAAGATTTTAAGGAATCCAATAATCCAAGAATTATAGGATGGTTTCTGTTATCAGTCAAACAACAATTAAATAAGGGTAGAAAGGAATATTTCCATTTCTTTAAGATGCTTTACGGTATTAACTGCTTCAGATAAAAGGACAGAGAGTCAGCTCAATTAAGTTTTTGCATCTTGATCCTCAAAAAAATGCCATGTTTCAATAGCACAACTTAAGTTTCACCTTAACTAGCAAAATACACCTGGCAATGCTTATTTCCATTTCTTTAAGATGCTTTACGGTATTAACTGCTTCAGATAAAAGGACAGAGAGTCAGCTCAATTAAGTTTTTGCATCTTGATCCTCAAAAAAATGCCATGTTTCAATAGCACAACTTAAGTTTCACCTTAACTAGCAAAATACACCTGGCAATGCTTATGCCAAATCTAAACTCTAAACACTTTTTGCTAAATGCTTTATCTACATTGCACCACACCACACACTTCATGACAAGAGACCTTGTGAAAATGTTACTTCTTCAGGCAATCAAACAAGACCTAAATCGCAGCAAAGTTTTCTTCAAAGCTTTTTCCCCACATGAATTTTCTCTACAAGGTAGAAGCAGGTTATGGCAGCACCAGACTTGCACTGCTTCTCTACTCCAGCTGAATATGACACCATTTTATTGTATCATAATATAATACCAGATCAGTTTCATATGGTTTTCTTAATCCAAAACCAGTGTTCAAGAATAGCTGACCTCAGATTTAGACAATCTTGAAGAACTTTGACTACAAGTTTTCTGCAGTATTTAAAGATCTCATCACTCACCTCTCCTCTCTTTTTTCTTGGTACACTCCTACAAAGTCCATTTTCACTCCAAATACAGAAATTTCTAAAGAGTTTTGCACCATCTCAGGGCTTCAGTTTTTGGGAGAACTCACTTCTCATTTACCATCAGAGCAAAACATCAGACACAGGCAAAAAAAAGGCTCTAGCTGAAGTTTTTATATTCTGATCTACGACCTTAGGGGTGAAAATAAGAAGCAGAAAGCACATTTAAACCTCTTTATACTTTGTAGATCCCTATCAAAAATGCTGACACAAAAGTTCAGGAAAACAATAAGAAATCCCGAATAAAGCTATGGGAGGTATTAGCATGCGTTTGATACTTCACACGTCTTTCTGCAGAAGCAAAATTGCTTACCTTTAAGAAAATGAACCTTTTCAAAATCTTGAAAATTAAGTAACCCCAATATAAATGCAAGCCTTGGAGGATCAATAGCTGCCCATTGAATAAAAAATATGCTATGACAGGAGTCGTGGAGTAGTATGTAGGCTGATACAATGTGGCACGAAGTATCCTAAAAAATAAAAGTCACTGTTATGATGCAAGAATCCTTCTCTATGCTTAATTTCACATTCCAAACCAATTAAGTCTTTCCACAAAATATTAAAAAGCTCTGCAAAGATGATTAATTAACAAGCCCTGTCTTAACTAGATTATGCATCTCTATTGAAATACAGGCTTCAGAAGATGAGAAATTTGAGTCTTGCATGAAAGTATTTCAAGTAAGCATACTGGGTTGGGCTGAGCTGGAGCTAATTTTCCCCATGGCAGTCTGTGTCACCTGTGCTTTGTACTGGTAGTTAGAAAGGTGTTTTGGCTACTGCTTAGCAGTGCTGGCACAGCATCAAGGCTGTCTCTCCAACATTCCCCCCTCACCAGTGGGCTGGGGGTGGGCAAGACCCTGGGAGAGGAGACAGTCAGGACAGCCGACCCCAAGTGACCACAGGGATGTCCCACACCACTTGACATCTGCTCCGCAGTAAAAACCAGGGGCAGGGGGGGCAGTCATTATTATGACATTTGTCTTCTGGAGCAACCACTGCGTGTACTGAAGCCCTACTTCCTGGGAAGTGGCTGGTTGTCACCTGCTGATGGGAAGTAGAAAATAAATCTTTTATTTTCCTTTGCTTCTATGTGCAGCCTTTGGTTTTCTGTTATTAAATTGCCTTCGTCTTGACCCACGAGGGTTTTTTTTTCCCCCCATCTTATTTTCTCCTCCGTCCTATCTTGCTGAGGAGGGGAGTGATAGAGCGGCTTGGTGGGCACCTGGCATCCAGCCAAGGTCAAACCACTGCAATAAAGTTAAAAAAAATCCCCCCCCCTGCCCCTTTTTTTTAATCTTGAGCTCTGTGTAGTCTAGATACAATACAACTCAGAGCTTGTCTATGCCATTTTTTTTAACGCAAATTCTTCCTAATATGAAATCCACACTCCAAAGAAAATCCTACAGGCTTTGCAACAGGGCTTTTTGTTAATTAACATAGGTTTTGCCCATCTTCAGACTTCACTACTTCTATATTATTTGGGGCTTTTTAAGTCCCCTTAATCTTATCATGTTTTGCTTCCAAACTCAAGAACAGGACACTTAGCGAAGCAAAATGATTGCAGATCACTTGTATAGTTAAAAAAAAAAAACAAAACAAAACCAAAACACCACCACAAACAAGAAAGTAAAAGACATCAGCATTTCTGAAAGAAAATACTACAGGAAATTAAAACCTTGTGTTGATCAATGTTCAGAACTATTAATTTAACCAGTTTGAGTCTCTAAGGGTTTGTCCACATGCGGGGAGGGGCATGAAGGCAAATTAGAGCAAGTCAATGAAACCATGAATGCGAAACACACAGAACACTTAAAAAGCTAAACATGTTAAGCATTAAGCACACTAAGCACCCGTGTGGATATCCCAAAGCAGATTAAATCATATCACTCCAAAGTCATGCGAGTATTTAGCATGTTAAGAGGATTCATTTGCGCTGACTTCACATATTAATTGGTTCACCTTAACTTTTCTGAATGCTCCTCATGCAAATGAGTGAGGTGAAGTACTACCCAAGAACGAGGTAGCAAAAAGAAGGCTCTACAAAAAATTAACTACCATTATATAGGAATTACACTGTACTCTGTAGCTACAGCAGGAGGGATAGAATGAAAGGGAAAATTATTTCTCCTAGTTAAGTAGCTCAATCCCCTCGAAAATGCAGGAGCTCATGGCATTTAACCACAATTTATGAAAGTAAATTAAATAATACGTAAAAGCCTTTATTCAGGTTAGCATATTTTCAAGAGACCCATTTAAAACTATTTTAACTTAAATTTTTAAAGCAAATTACAGTTTTTGTTAACTCTTCTCACTGGCCTTTAATAGCCAACAGTAATAAAAGTTCTGCTTCTACCCTTTAAAGTAAAATCCATTCCTTTCCTTTTCCCATACAACCAATACTAACCTCTCAATGGAAATGGGAATGAAATAAAAGCCTGTGACTAGCTATTAAATATTGCTTACCAGAAGGGGAACAGGATGATTCTTGTGATGAAGAATGCAATAGAAAAGATGATAAAGAGCATATTGCAGGTTTTCTCCCAGTGAGCGTAATTAAACATTTTGGCTGCCTGCATTGGAAAAAAAAAAAAAAAAAAAGTACCATCAAACATATTACAAATATTCTCTGAAATAAGTTCCTTTCTGCATTTTCATAAACAAGGACTCATCTTCCACCTAAGCAGGAAGAAAAATTCCTCCCTGTTTGACATGTAAAGCAATCGTTTTACTGATACCTAATAAAGCAGTATCAAAACAGATTCTTTGTTTATATTTCTCCTTTCATCTCAAAGGAAAGGACTCTGTATCAAAGGCCTAAAGAACAGCTCTCCCATCAGAATATAAAAGTGTCGTGAAAACACAAAGTGCTCTTGAAAACAGAAGTAATCCCTCATTCCTGTACCAGATTCAAAACGGGCTGGATCAAAGAGAAGCTGCTGGCCACATCTGCATGCTCAGGAGCAGCAGTGACCCCTTATACGCAGGCATTCTGGTGCATGCACGGTACTGACCCTTCTCTGTGCCTAATTCAGCTCCTGTTTTCTCCTTTTTGAGAGCTGGAGATCCTAGTGCCGGTCTCTATCCCACTAATAAAGATTATGATTCCTACTTCTCCCCTAGCTGAACTGTACAACTCTCCATGCTTCATTTAGGAATCTCCCTGGGCACTGTTGAATGAAACAGCTGTTCTCAAGTGTGAACAAAGCTTCAGGTGCCAAGCCTAAATTTTAAACAGCAGTTTGATAAACTTTTGAGTGGCAGGCCTGAATTAAGTTATCCTGGTACCTAACTTCAGTTTCCATCCGAGTGCTGTCCCACCAGTTGTCAGCTCAACTGTTCGTAAGGCCACACAGTTAATTGGACCACAAAGCAGTTTAGGATTAAAAGTAACCCAGCCAAAACCTGTATGTATGCATTTAATTTGGATCAATTCCAACCACATGACCCCACTGTTAGTTGTTCCAATAAAACAGATAGAGCATCAGAAGCAGAAATGAACAGTGACAGACAACAGCCTACAAGGGCTGCTTACACTGGCACTGCCACCAAAAGAGGTGATGAAGCTATGCCCTCAGTCTTGGTGTTAGAAAACCAGGATAACTCTATCGAAGGAAATGCAGTGTGCATTTGTCTTCCAAGAAACCCACAGTGCTGGGTGCTAAATAGGACACTTCTTAAATATTTCTAAACATTGATATTTAGTTCAAGGAAAGGGAATTCCCCTTCAGCCTGGGAGAAGAAACTTCTCTTCTGCCAATAGATACCTGTGATATCTTGTTCAGGGACAGCTTGAGTGTCTCCAGCCAGAAATGTATAATGTAGGTGTACCCCTTGGGTCAGCCCAGGGGTGTGAATGCTGACAAAATTAAGCCAGTTTGGAGAAGTAGCCAAAGTTTTGGCTGCTAAATTTACTTGAGAATTGGTATCATGACAAGCTGTGCACAGGCTAGCCAACTTGGTCTAATTTTAACAGTGAAACAAGAATAATCCAGGGAGGCAGCTGTATTTCCAGTCCCTGTTCTGTACTGAAGAACTTCTCTTCTGCTCTTTTCTCATAATGGATTCTGTAACAAAGTACCAGCTTAAATTATCTAGAAGCTCTTTTTTATCTTACGATTTATGAATCTGTGAAGCCATGTCTCTGTGTGGATAGGAAGAGATTGTATGAAACTTGTGGCAAAAAGATTAAAATGTCACGGAACGTAACCCTGGCAACAACCAAAAAAAAAAACCCAAACCACCCCCAAACACACCAAAACCAACCCCAAAACAAACGAACAAACAAAAAAATGGAGGGCAGGGTTACCTCGAGCCAGAAATCTGCAGTATCATGCACAAACATCACCAGTGTTCCAAGACGCACGTAATTGCCACACCAAGAGCCACTCATCAACCCAATGGCTGCCAAGTGGTGAACGACATGAGCCAGAAAATCCTGTGAAGGGGAGGAGGGAAAAAAAAAAAAAAAAAGGTAGAGCCAAGGAAGTACAGCCCTCAAGGGTCTCTGTGCAGATGAAGTGACAAGCAAGACTCCTCACACACACACACAGATGGCCCTGGCAGCCAGGAGAGCATGGACGTGTGCAGGTGTGCCAGGGATAGACTGATGCTGCCCTCATGTGGCTGCACCAAATCCAGTATCAGGACAGTGCTTTTCCTTACAAACATTTTTTTTTTTCCCTTCCTCACAGAAACAGAGGTTCTAGGTACAAATGAGCATGACCACTTGCCTTTCTCTTGTTGTCAATCCCAAGTGTAAATAAAAGAGACCAGTAAAAACTAATCTCAGCCATGTAGTACCAATACTGGGATGGCAGCAGAGTCTGTAATGAAGAAAAACAAAGTTAACTCTGAGAATAGCAAAAAGTGAACGCCAAGTAAAATTACTTCTTTTTTCCTTTCCTCACTTCTTTTGCTCTTCTGCTGAGTCTTGCTTAAAAAATTAAACTAACTAACTCCCTGTTCTGGGCTTCATTAAGAAGGATGTTCTGGGAGCCAAATATTTTAACCTTTACTCAGACCAAACTCTCAGTTTCTGCAGTTCCTCCCCCACCTCTGAATTTTAGCATGCTTTTTTCTGTGCTTTTGTCAGAGAACTACACACAGAGTGCTTCTGCATTTAATTACAAACAACAGCAAATATATGAAGCCCTCCATTTTGGTGAACAATTAACATTTTAAACATTTACACATCCCATGACTAAAATGTCAGCTATTTATGCTAAAATCCTATGCATCTGCTTAGGGCTAGATGCTGAGCTTGGCTGCTCCCTTGGTTCAATACGTTTCCCAGGTGGCAGGAAGTAGGCTTGGTTATCCGGTCCCACGAGTAAGAGAAGCTGGGAAAACTCAGCTGAGAGGCAGGATTCTCTTTATTTTTGGCCCCTGAGTAGGACAGGAATAAGAAGGCAGTGTGATGGGCCACAGATTTATAAAGATAGGAATGGGGGGCACATAAGAACCTCTCGCAGGTGGGGAAGAAGGCAGTTTGCTTGGAGTCATCTGTTATGGGACTGTTAGTAAAATATTTTAGGAAGAAATGAGAGCCCTGCAACAGTCAGAAGGAGGTACCAAAGAAGGACAGACGGCTTTGGTGCCACACCTCTCTAGGTGGTGCAGTTGGGAAGGAGAAACGCTTCTGTGGATTAGCCCGTCCAATGGGGAAATACTTGGGATGCCTTGAGGCCAACGGCCCAATGCCAAAAAACTCACCTGAAACGGGTAGCCAACCCACGTCTGCCATATGTCGTAAAACCAAGGTTTCTGGGGAAGACAGATCATTCAGAGACTCATCAGCTGAGCAACAATAAGTCATCTTAACTCAGAATCTTCAATACTTAAAATTTCTCTAAGTGGAGCAGGCTAAGAAGCTATAGTCTTGATAATTGTTCTCCACCGATTTCTAAAGGGATCTTACATCTCAGATTTATTATATTGGTCCCAGCTTTTTGGCTTCTTTTCAGGACACCTGAAACGTTCCAGTTCATCATTTCATCATCCAAAGCAGTGGGTGTGTGTTTTATTACTGCAATTACTCAAGATATGTTGCCACAGTGATTAGATTTTGCTGTGTTTACCAGCCACACACATCACTGGTTCACGATGATAAACAGTGTCTGGGGAGAAGAGCCAGATGAGCATAGACACACCGAGAACTGTTCTGCTGCTCAGGAGAAGCGTTAATGACACCCCAGGCAGTGCTCACATAGTTACAAGCAGCATTCTCTCTGTTATTCCCAACTTCTGACTCAGCAGCAACACCTCAATAAATAGCCATGAAATACACCATTGTTGTCACCCCCAAAAATGCTGCCAGAAAAGGTTTATGGCCTCCTCTGAGAAAAACACGGCCACGTGATGCCCTTTTAGGTGTTAACAAGGCACGTTGTAAAACCATCTGTGTGACTTCTTAAAACTTGCCTTAAAAATACTGGCTACTCATAAATTACTTTACCATAGAAGTTCAAAAGGCAATTTATAAAATAAGTGAAACCTCAGTGCATACTGCAGCCTGTCATCTAGATTATGTACATCAACGATCTGAACCCAAAGAGCCACTGAAACCAGCGAGTCTTTCAATGGGCTTCAAGATCTAGAAATCAGTTCTTATTTTGTTAAAAACGTAAGAATAACAATCCTTCAAAATATTTACTTACATCATACAGAAATATAAATCCAGCAATGGAGGATGTAAGATAGAATGAAAATCGCCAGCTGCAAAATTAAAAGGAAAAAATAAGAACTATATATAAAGAACTAAGAATTATATTTTTATAGATATTGCCCTGATCCAGAATTACTGCAAATCATTGTAAATCACAAACAATCTTCATATAAATGTGCCCTCACACTCTACATTAAGGGTTGTCACGTATTAACTATATCTGAATTACTAATATTTAAATACTTAAGCTTTGACTAATTGCTGGAGTAGTAAATTATTTTACATTATCACAATACAGATTTCTTGATTGTGATTACAGCAGTGATCTTCCAGCCAGGCATGAGCAGATCAAGAGAACAGGCACAGCAAATGTAATACATTCCCTAAAAATTAATGTTTGATAACACCAACCTTTCCTGCTGCATCCATCCCGCTAGAATATTCACACTGGACTAAGAACACCTCATAGTTCCCTGACTCCAGAAGCTTTTTTAGCCACACGGCACATACTCTCCAATCTGATCAAACACTTGTGAATGCTTTGAGCATCAACAGTGACTTGTTTCTATTGCCGGGCTAATTTCTTTTGATCTCTCTTAACACCGATTGGTAAAAACAGGGGAGACCTATGAAACTTTAACAACAACTACTGGATTAGTTATGTCTTGCTACAGAGGTCTGAGTTAACTATAAACCTCAATCTTTGACTAAGTTTGCCAGCATTTAGCTTGATCTAAGGTCTTTGTGGCTTAAATGGATATCCATCAAGGCCGATAAAGCTTTCAGGTTTTCACCACCTATCTGGTAAGCCAGCAAAGGGAAAAAAAACCTCTTGTGTATCTTAGCAAACCGAAACTATGTTGTTGCTTATATATGTCAGAGCAGGATGCTGTGATTTGGAGCCAGCAATCAGCATTGTGAGGACTCTGGAGCCTGCGTGGGAGGTATTGTCCCTGGGACTGGGTGCGGCTGGAGACTCAGCCAGAGCATTCCCACTCCCACCTCTACAGGTGATGGAAAACTTCTTCCTTTCCACTCTTCTCCTTGGCAGGAACAAGCCTGACCTTTCCCAGAGCAGCTCTTTGAGATCAGCAGGGAAACACTGCAGGCCGTACCGTGCTAAGAAAGGTTGTGATCAGAGACAGGCATGTGGCCCCGGACAAGGCGAGAACATTTTATTGAACAAGAGGTATCCCGGAGGAGAGCAGCAAACAGCCTCCCAGAAAACCTAAATTTGCTAAAAAGGAAGAGAGCGCTCCTCAAGAAGAACACTGTACTAATGGATTGAGAGATGTATAAAAATGAGATTGCGGTCTTTGGCAAACATGAATGAAGTGCCATACGAGAGAAGATGAGAACCTGTCTGGTAGAAGCAGCTCCTCCTTTCCAAGCCCTATGTTATCTCAGAGGCTGATATCCCAGATGAAAGAATGAGATGTCCAAGACTGAGCCAGAATTTTATAAGAAAAACAAACAAACAAAAGATGAGGTCATGGAATGGCGGAGGCTAGACAAGATAATAGGTCTCACTTCTGCGGAAGAAGTCAATAAAACAATTATAAAATTGCCACTTGATATACTGGTAATAAAAAACAGTTTTACTTTTCAACTTCACAGCATCTTTTTCTCAACTGATTTGAAAATAACACTTCAGAACACCCACTGAGCGGACAGAAAAATTCAAAGGTACATGGTGGAAGTTAGGAGAATGGAAGGGGAGAGTGGAAGCCACAAGTAACCCCTGGCTCAGAGTTAACCAAGAGACGCTATGAAAAACAACACCGTGGCACGGGACAGACTTTTTACACAAAAGCTGATTCTGCCCTTATGCCTCGTATTTCAAGCAAGGGAGGTGTGAGTAGTCTAGTGGATATAGCAGGACTGATTCTGCGTTGACTGTAAAGTATAAGCGGTTTTCTGAATCAGATCCAAAGCACAAAGCACCTAACAAGACTGTGCCCCAGCCCTACAAATACATATTGAATGAACTTGGCGATAAACACTCAGTGCTTCAAATGAACTCATTATATGGGAAAGATTGCCAGAGCACTACCTCATTTTGCATTTAGCCAAGCTTCTTTATGAATTTGGTGAACAAAACCTAAAGTAAAACTCACCCAAATTCACCAAATTTGACCCAAGTGCCTTTTAAGCTCTGAACCCAGCCACCAGCTATGCAGAAGGATTTTCTGATTTAACTGCAGGAATCTTTTCCCTTGAACTGAGTCTAACAAAAAAGAATTTAGTAGGTGAAGTCAAAGGCTGGTAAGTCTTTTAAGGCAGGGAAGGTTGCATGCAAAGGGCTTTCCAAACCCCAGTGTTGCTTAACTGGGAGCACTAATAGCTTAAGTATGGTTTAGATCTGGCTCATCAGTTTTTCCTTGTGATTCAGAAAAATGATCCTGAAGATTGCAGGCTTTCAAAAATTTCATAATGCTCATAACACTGACTACTAGCATGGAATTACTCTGTTCCTCATTTGTTGACTTGAGAATTACATCCAATTAAATTCACTGACAAAGAGCAGAGCAAGGTTCACAAAATTGCACAAGAGAAACCTGTTTGCTTCATTCTCACTCGAGCTGCCAAGCAAGTTTTAATTCCAGTCTTTGGCTGTGTATTACTAGAGACATGCATCCATGGCAGGTAGGTCTTTTATCAATAGCAGGAAATCTTGTAAAACAAAGTTAACTGATCCATACAACAACAGTAGAAATAAACCATGGATGTCGTTTGCCAGGACAGTTTACTCAACTCAGCTAGGCTTCAGAGCAACACATCTATGTCTATCAACTGGATTTATGCCCAACAGAGGACATCAAATCATTATCATACTGATTCACACTGAAAACAATCTTGATAAAGTACTCAACGTTGAGCTTTGTCGCTGTACTTTTAACCCTCATTCCGTGAGCTGAACTACACTAAAAGACATTAAGCATTATAATCACGTGAAATTTTGCTAATGTAGTTACACTAGCCAAAAATCCAAGTACACATGACATTAGGAAAGTGTTTTACACTGGTACAGTTAATTTCAGCATCCAAAAGAGATGAGCTATGTAAGTAAAACCATGCCCATTTGGGGATTTGCAATTTTTATGAGATTTTGATTAACACTGGGATAGTTAAATAGTAAAATGTTTAGGGATGGGGAAATTCTTACACATTTATGAAAAATCACATCTTGAATGCTTTTCCAGTTTTCAATCATATGCAGGAGGTTTCAGAACTTTTTACATATTCGTTATTATAACTCAAAATTGCTCAATGGCCCACTCTCATCAGCATAATTGAGCTCCTGTTTTGCACAGTACCCCATGTTCAAGCTGTGACACCTACCATTTAGTAAGGATGCCACGATTCCTGCTCTTGAACTGACTTCTGTACACATAATAGCATCCCAAGATGACAGTATGAATACATATGAACACAAGTGTGAGTAAGCATTTTTGTTCCCTGATGATTACTGGCAGACAGAAAAATATTTTCATATTCTCTGCATGTTTTCATTAAGCACTACGTAGCAGTAGCAGGAGCCTACAAATATTTTCATATTCTCTGCATGTTTTCATTAAGCAGTAGCAGTAGCAGGAGCCTACAAGTAAGTCCATTATTACACAATTACAGAAAACTAAAATATTTTTGAGGTTTTTTTTTCAGGAGAAGCTGTTAACCTAATCTTTTTAAGTCACACAATTTGGAGAAATGCTACTAGACCCTTTCAATTTGTTTATGCACAAACCAAAACGCTAGTCAGACACACCCAGCTTTCTGGAAATGAGTGCCCCTTAAAAGGCACCTGAGCACCTCAATCATTTTTTTTTTTTCAAAACGGTAAAATCCATAATAATCAAAAGCATTGTCTTTTCTTACAAAGCTTCCTGGAATTTTCGAAGCACTGTTGGAATCTCAAGGTTTCGCCGCCTCCTAAACCACTTCTCCACCAAACGGACTGTACAGTTGCACTTTTTCGCAAGGCCTTGAATGTCTGACTGCAAAAACCAGAATAGCGTTAGCAACAAGATGTACTCCAATGTAATTTTCATTTATTTTGTAGTTCACAAACCAGCTTCCCACTGTTGTAAGGTCTTAATTTAAAAACATTACTAATATTAACTACCTATGGGGAAAGCCTTGCAGGCTTCCTGGTTTAGTTTTTGAGTGACACGCACAGAAACCCTGGATTTTCAAGATGCTAATTTACATAAATAAAGCAGACATTAAATGTACACATATACAAACTGTCTTTCTGGTGGCTTCTGATAGTTTCAAAGATGCAACTTCTACTGCTAAACAAGAGGTTGGGCTGGAGGGGGAAGTGCCATGTATCAACCGTGGACACTGTATCTAGTCTCTTACCTAATTATGATTAATTATTAGATTATATTTAAATGAGTCTCACAGGTGAGATGTGGGCCTGGAATTAAGGGGACCTGAGCTCTGTTCCCAAGTCCAATGTACTTCTGTGGTACAGGGCAAGTAAATCTTACTGAGCAAAATCCAGACCGCCTTTTGACACCTAAAAATAAACGAGGGCTCAAAGCGCTACCTAGAAATGCATCTAGGCCATTCAAGCGCAACAGTTGGGTGTCTCTGCTTTATGTGTGCTCTGAAGGTGAACTGGCTCTGCAATGCAGCCATGCCAGCACGTGCTAAACACAAGGCACCACGACTCCTGCATTTCTGGGTGCTCAGTGCCCCACCTGCAGCAGCCTGTAGGCTTCCTCCTTCTCCATCCTGAAGCACAGAAGGTGTAAGCTGACCACCCCTGGGGCTGCTGCAGGAGCAGAGGTAGCGTTGGACTCATCCCCAGGGAAGCTCTTTCCCCACAAGGCTAGTATGCAAATAGTGGGTGGCAGTAGTACTGCCTCCACTGAGGTAAGTCCAGTTCAGTTAGTGCCCTACCCTTGGGAGAAAGCTCTGGTATGTAAGCAAAGGCACCTCAGCTGTTGGGAGGGCAGGAGTGCAAACAGCTTCTGTGTTCAGCCCATCCTGCTGGCTGAAGAGCTTTCTACTTGCCACGCAGGAATACCAGGTTTGTTTTGACAGAAAACAGAGCCTAGATGCCCTCAATTGCCAGCCAGGCCTCTGCCTGCATTCGCAGGCATGCTGGTCCCCAAGCTGGACACCTAAAGGAGGCAGCCTGAATCCTTCCCATGTACTGACAAGTATAAAAATGCTGCGCTTCCTTTCAGAGATTAATCGTCAAACTGTACTCATGCAGAAGGAAGGTGTGAAACAGAGATCAGGATACTTGCCCAGATAGAGAGGAGCTCATACGTGAACACGAATACATTTATTCCTGATGGTATCAGGCAAAAGACACAGTAAGAGAATAGCAGAGTTAGGGATAGAAAGCAAAGTTCCACATATCAATAATTATCAATATCCCTCATTACTAGAAAGCACATATTTCTTTTCAAAACCGGTGTAGGAACGCTGCAGTTGGTTTGTATCTGTACTTACTCAAGTGAACTTTTTGAGGCTGCATTCACAGTGAAGTACCTGTTTTCCATCAACAATCAAGTTGCCTCATATTTTGAGATGGTAAACATTGGCTATTGTTTTTTTCTTGTTCAAATTTAAAAACAAACAGCAAGGTAATAGAAAGATTGCTTTTCTTTCTCACATAAGCCAGGATTAAGTATGCAGCAATATAACGGATCAAAAGGCTTCCACGCCAGCGTTCCAATATTATTGCTTGCAATAAATATGATACTACTTTCCAACAACAGATGTCAGCTGATGTTTTCTCCAGGCAGAATGAGTTAAAGATGGAATGCTGATCTTCACTGGAAATAATATTAACAGTTTAACCTAGAACAGCATGCCAAAAAATTAAACATCTTAAACATATTTTCTGTTTTGGATGCCATATGCCCTTGTCAGCAGAACAGTAACAAAAACCCAAATAAATTAAGTCATCTGTCAATCAGCTGGAACTCATCCCATGATGTCATTGCTGATAGCTGATTGAAACAGTAAGACTTGGGATTTTCCAAAACCAAAACTAGTTTAAAAGAATGAGAATCCTTACTTGGGATGGATGTTTTGAGCACTCCCGGAAATAACTCTCTAAAACAGGATTAGGCTGTGGCTTCACACGTCTTACATTCTTTATACCTAAGGCTTTTGCTAGAGGTATAGCAACATATCTGAAAAGACATATCGTGAAAAACTTTGAAAATACAACAGTTACAAGACCTTAGCTATTCTCATGCCAAGATACGAAGAAAATAAATCTAAGGCAATTTAATCTGCCATAGGATATGGCAGCGCACTGTGAGAGAAAGGAACCTCCCTCCAGATAATCCCAAGAGAGAACCATAGCATATTAGCAGTTATGCAAAAAGGCAGACCCAAGGACTCAAGTTTGCGGTCATGAAATGCTACAGAACTACAGGAAAGATCCCGATTTTTGTGTCCTTGTGTTTTCAGAGGCATGCTGGAGTTAAACAACAGTTAAGGGAGAGTGAAACAAGAACAGATGCTCTCTCCATGTGAGCCAAAAGATTGCTACTGGGATACTTTCTCCCAGTGGCAGGTAGTCACTTAGCACATGGCTTCACCGGGCTACCACTGCCCACGACACTGGATTCAGCTTGTGGCCTCTGGCTTGTGGCACACAGCAACTCCCCCAGAGACCGAAGGCTTCTCTTTCTCTTCCATTTTCCAATACAAATTGCTGCAGAGCATGCCAAATGCTTCGCTCTTCTACTTGGGCAGGCTTTTCTGAAAAAGCCCCCCTTCGCTCCTGCTGATATCAGCAATTGATTCCTTATTACGCATAGCAGTGGTCAGTTTTCCTCATTCATGGGCAGATTCACTGCAGGCCAGATGTGTGGGCTAATTATTCACACGAGCCTTTTCCAATAGCAGCGCAGTGAGACACAGCTGGGCAAGCATTTACTCAGGAGACACTGTGAATGGTTATAAACATATGATCCAAATTACTTTTGATCTCTAACATGAATGATCTTATCTGGTTCTGTTTTAAGTCTGTCCAGTTTACGACATTCCGAATTTCCTCATTCTATCCTGAAATAATTATAAAAACCTACTAATCACATTCTTTAGAGCAAAAAAAGAAAGTCAAGCAAAACACACATAAATAAATAAGTCAAAGCACTGCAAATCTTAATATATTTGTAGCTTTCTTTGTGGAGCCAACCTCCGCCTGTCCCATAAGATTCCAGCTGCAGAAGCAATCCATCTTTCAGTGCCAAAGTGAGGAAAAAAAAGAATCAGTATTACTAGATCTCCATAAAATGATCACATGAAACTTTGGGATCCTTCCAGTCTGCCCAGTTTTGCTACAGCTGGACACCTGGGATCTATCAGCCTGACACAAATGTTCTGGTGGAGGACCAAACAAACAGAGAGGTTTGGTTTGGAGGATGAATACCTCTACCTTTCCACTGAAGGAGAAAAAGTAAGAGGAAACCCAAATGGGTTTGGATTAATTGTATCTTTAGCAAAAGGAGGTAATTAGCATTATCCAAATACTGTCCTAGAAAAGCTAGATAGAAATATTTTCCTTCTAGATTGGACCACAGCCACATGTACCTAATAGTGAAAACATTTCCCAGTTTTTCACCTGCTATATTATCTGTACTAGATCTTTCTGGCAAACCACCAACTAATCCTCCTTTATAAAGAACATTGATCTAAAGATATCTTATTTTTCAAAAATGTTTAGCATTAATGAGGATTAACATTAGCATAAAATTGCATTTATGTTTCTTACCTTTCACTGAAGAATCGGATAATCAGCAACACAAAAGCATAGGGTATTGTGGCATATAATTGATGTGGTTTTGGAAAGACAAGTCCATCACGGTCTACAAAATGTGCCCATGTGACATTGACAGGCATCCAGATATTCTCCCACCAGAACCAGCTGTTGAGGGTCTTTAGTATGTGCGCCATGCTACGCAAATAAAAAGATAATTAAAAATTATTCCAAACCTATTAAGAAGAGAATGCATGAAATAAAACATATTGAACCTTGTTGTGTAGAACAGTGATTTCCAGCTGGCAGGACATTTCCTAAAGATAAGGTACAAGCAAACAGCAGATGAGGCTTGGGTCCCCCAAGAACAAGCTGTCATGGCCTGCATGGGTTGCAGTGGCATTGCAGGTCCAACAGAGACATCCCTAAAGAGAAACTGCAGGCACTATAGAGATGCTCAGGTGTCCCAGACTAAATCAAGAGCAAACAGACCTTGCCAGTGAAGTGTGCAATTGTGTCACTTTTCTCAGAAAAAAAAAAAAAAAAAAGGAAAAAAAAAAAATCAGTTACAAGAAGTTGAAACCCCCTTGGTTTAGAGCATGCAGACGGGATTATAATCCAGCAGAAGATAAAATAATAGAGATAAATTTTGAGCTGGTATAAAACAAAGCAGAGCCTTTGAAATCTGCAGCAGGTTGTTAATCTGCTGTCTCATTTCAATCATTCACACTTACACTGCTTAGTACCTGGTCAAATCTTTTACAATAACAATTTATTATCTATCATACCAATACACAAAATTTAAAGAGAACTGATCTTCCCTAGGCCACTCTTGTAAGTTAAATATAAGTGGATAGAAGGGTGGAAGAGAAATGAGAAAGTCCAGGGGGTGACTCAGTTCCATAATAATGAAGACATTTTTCTGCTGAATTACTGCTGCTTAATCGGCAAATGGCAATATACACCTTGATCCTGATTTTGCAAACACCTGTGCACAGGACCAAGTATAAAAATTACAGGGCACAGCAAGCTTTGGGGGCTGGTGTGTTTTGCAAGAAATACTATTATTTAACTGCGACCAAATCCTAGATTAGAACAAAATGTCTAAAATCAGTTCTTGAAGGGAAAAAAAAAAATAAAAAAATTAACTTAAATGAAAACATTTCATTCTCGTAAAAGCCTCATTTTCAAGCTTTGCATTCTACGTTATATATTTAGAAGTTTCTGTTATCCCTCATTTAGTCATAAGGACTTTACAGGACAAACATGTTATATATCCCATAAAAATATTCTAAAATTGAATAAAAATAGAAGTTACTATAATGCTTTCCATAAGGCTGAAATAAGTAATCTTCCTATAATTTCTAGGACTAATAAATTTAAATAACCTTTTCCATACTAAAATTTCCTGTAAACCTGAAAAAATATGAGGAAATAACTGATTTCACTGAACCATAGTTTCAATGAGGAAACAGTTGAGCTGCGAGAATTTCAACCAAGTCTCCTCAGCTTTAGAAACCTGAAGACCTCGCAGTGAAATATTCATATAGGATCAAGTGATAAGATCAAATCACGCTCAGGACTGATCGTTGCTCAAGCCCTCTCATGTTCCTCCCTATTTGAGCAGGGGCCACACAACTTTAGTTTTGCCCGCAGCCACACGTAGCTTCCACCCATGCTGGATCAGGACATCCAGCTTAGTGCACTCAAACCGGCTTCCCAGATTCGGACATGGCTGACTCTGAAGCTCACTTCAATCAACAGCTAACGAGCAACCCCTGCAATTCGCACTGGGCTGTTTCCAGTAAGCTGAAGCCTCGCAGCAGGTTTGTGAAATAGTGACTTGTACCCATCAAACAGAGCTGGGTTAACAGACACTGTGAATCAATTCACTGGCCACGCACAGTAGTCAGTATTGAAATATTAATAACCAGCCATTTAATCTTTTTAAAAGCCAAAAGGGGACAGTAAAAAACCTACTGAATGAATTGTGTGTGTATAAGCAAATGCAAAAATAAAGGAGGGAGAAATCACAATTGTTCCTGCAATGAGACTTTATATGCCAAGTTTCAGCCTAGAGCAATTTTTTACTGCTGAATTATAAACTCCTGGAAGTAGGGATTTATAATGGGGCTGCTAACAGACCCTTAACTACAGCTAGCAGGCGCCATGATAATGAAGCAGGGCTTTGAAACATGACATTTTAGGTCAGACAGAAAGGCTTGCAATCAAACTGCCCTAGAAGACCAGGGGAGAGACTCATTACACAGTTCTGCTTCCTAATATATCTGTATTTTTAAACTAGACTGTGCATTGCAAACTGTAATGGCAATAAAAATAGGCCAGGCTGTTATAACACAGTGGCAGGAGCGCTAACGGTCGGACTATGGTGAGATGGGTTGCAACTGAACATGAACCCAAAACACTTAAACCTTAGAAACACGCAGTGCGTATTTTCATATTGGATTCATGGGATTTTGCTAAGTTGTGTTTTCCTTCTACCTTTTTGGGTCTTAAATTAGTTAATGCATCTCTATTAAATTAAGCTCATAAGAACATGCTTAATCTAAAGTTTAAGGGAATTCTGGGATTTGGAGTCTGATCATGGAATTTAGCATCTGATCCAGAGTCCACTGATTTCAGTAGGAATCCTTCCTCACAAACACCAGAGTCACAGAAAGATGGGTTCTCTGAAACTCTTTCTTCTGTAATCCCCTGCATTTGTACCAGGACTTGCCTTGCACACAGGGGGTTAGACCATCCCTGATGAACGTTGTCCAAATAATTCTTAGAGAACTGTTGACAAGATTCCACAGCCGTCTGCAGCCTATTCTTATATTGGATGTTCACCCTACATCCAACCTGCGTTTTCACTGCAGCACATCAGGCCATTCCCCAGGCAATCTTGGACATTTTCATCTTCATAATAGCAGCCATTTAAGTAGTTGGGCTGTTTTCCCATCTCCCTTCAGCTTCATTTCTCATCATGAGGTTCCTGGAGCACCTGGGAGGCGAGGAAGTCCTTCCAAACACACCCAGGCAGCAGTGACCTGAGCATTTTACAGGTTTTTTTTCTTCTGCCCTCTTTGCTCTTAAATGGCTGACAGTTGTGGCTATGTGATTAAGTAGTTTTATCCCTCCTTAAATCATGGAGATCCTGAAACATATAGGAACTCCATAAATACTATTTTGTTGCATACATCATATACAAGCAAGGTTCTCTTCTCCTGTATTATAAACAAGCTGTGGCCCTTTCAGCTTGCTGAGAAACATCTCATGAAATCCATAGGTACTTTGTATGATTTTCTGTATGAAAAGGAAGCTGACACCTGATAGAAGTCTCCATCTCAGGAAGCACCACTCAAAGCAAACTAACCAAGAATAACTCAGCGCTAGCTTTATTGATCATCTCCTCCACAAATATATATTTGCTACTTCCTAGAAATCTTGATTGAAATTAGCATTGGAACACAATTACACTTTTAAAGATGAACCCATCCATTATCCCATCCCCTCTACCAAAAAAGATCATTTCAATGCTCCCACAGCATCACCGATACAAATAACCCAGCTCTATAGTTTACTCACCACATCTACAGCAACCACTGTCCCAAATACTAATCCTCATTATCAACTTTCTCCACATTATGACTTGGCTTCATTCTAAAATATTTACTTTGAATCCTTTTGACCCTAAACAATGGCTGCGTAAAACATGAAAGAAGAGGCCAGAGGATGGAGAAAAGGAGACAGATAGAAAGCACACAAGTCATTTGTCATTTGTCTCTAGCAAGCTTTGGGTGTTAGAAAAACCATAGCTGCCTGGGACAGCGAGTGTGGCAGAGTGACTTCTCAGAACCCTTAATCCCCCATCTGTGCCAATTCACCAGGCAGAGACCAAATGGCCAGAGAGAGCAAACTCTGCTTTCAGACCACATCAGGTTAAATGCACGTTGCCAGTGCCATAGGAGAGAAAATTTTCCCATTATTCTTTGCATGCTACTTTTTCCAGGAAAAAAGGGCTTGCCCCTACAAGGGCTATTGTTCTGACATATTAAATGTAGACCAACCTCAAGCACTTGCATATAATTTAAATTATATTGTCTATACTGTTTAGTTTCGGTTTTAACACTAAGATTTTTGGTAGCTTATTAAATCCTAACAGGTTAGGAAGGCCAGTAAGCCATACAATCCTACACTGAGAACGCCTCTTCCAAGTGCCCACAGTGTGAGTGAGAAAGGGAAGGCATCCACCACAGGTTCTCCTGTGGAAGGGACTAATAAATAGGTAGATGTCTTTCAGCTGTCCCTCCTGCCACCCAGACACCATCAGCAGTGATGGGAAGGTAGACAGGCATTTCTTCATATAGTGCCCACAATCTGGGTAGGAAATGGGAGAACCAGTTTCTTTTCACTTGGGTGAGTGGAGTGAGTTTTGCAACAGGCTCATTTTATGCTGCAGAGAAATTTTCAGGAAGCGCTATGACTGCAGTCCTTGGAATTTGTTTCCCTAGTGCATCAGTGTAAAACTAGAGGACACTTATTTTGTCAGGAGCTGGTTACCACAGAAAGGCAGGTGTTCCAGTGTAACCACAAGCGGTGGTGACCAGTTCCAGTGCTGGGATCAGGCCGTACATACTGGATTTCAAAGGCAACTGATCTTTTTAGTTTGCATAAATCATCACAATTTGTTATTCTCCCCTCACACACACTGCTTCCAAAGAACGGGCAGCAAATGCAAAGGCCCAGCTTGTCCTGATTTGGGACCAGCTCTAACAAGAAACTTGAAAAGCTACCCAGCTTGAGCCTCCTATTGCTAAGAGTGCTGAGCTCAGAGCTTTTTTCCCCCCTTACTGCTCATAACAGCATCAAGCAGCAGTAAGATGTGTCGAGTGAGAAATGACAACAGCTGAGTGACCCATATTCTGCCTAACCTAGGATAAAAAAAAACAAACCCTGCTTCTTCCCAGAATCCTATCCATGCACCAGCACAGCCAATATTATTTTCATGGACAAAACTGGAATCATTGCCCTTGCTCTAGAAGGGCCTAAAAGTCAGTCTAGCAATAAAATAACGATATTTTAGAAAACTGCAAAGTTCCCCTGCATCTTGCAAATTAAATACTCCAAGTACAGAAATCTAATCACCTCCTTGCTAAGGAAGGATCTCCTCTGTAGCCTAATCCAGTTTTAAATGG